AAATCTCAACGGCCTCCTCTATAATCCCCTGGAGATTAGGTCCATCCCGAGAGGAGGGGAGGTAAAGCAGGCTAAGACAGCACTAGGCCTCACTAGGGTCACTTTGCCAGGCAGGGGTAGTTTAAAGTTGAATAGCAGGGCCAGAGTTGCCCCCAGCCCCGCCTCCTTCTTGCCCCAGCCACCCCCTTCATCACAACTAGTCAGTTTCCACACACTCTTCCCTTTGCCCTGTGAAAGAGGGCCTGGTGAAGGATCTAGGGATCCTTGAGTTTCCCAGGGACTGCTTTGGGTGCCTAACTCGGGAGGAGCAACCTTAAAGTCCAACTGGCAGTCAGTCCAACCTGGCAGTGGCACCCTCCCCCGCCAACCCAAGTTGTTCTGTCCCAAGGCCCACAAGGAACCCTGGGGGAAGCAGCAGCAGCCTGGGATTGGTGCTGGCATCAGGGCCTGGGTCCTAGTTTAGTCAAGCTTCCCCCCAACACAAAAATAAACAGGCAGAGAAGCTTTCTGGCTAGGTTCCCAAACTCCCGTGGTTCCATGAACCCCCATTCTTTAAAGAGGCACACCCCAAGACACCAGGCCGCAGTTCTGCTCTGGTGACTGGCTCAGGTTCCCTTGACAGACCCTGCCAAAGGAACCCTCCCCAGCTCTAGCACCCCTTTCTCCAACCTGAAGGCCAGCTCCGGCCAAGATAGTCCATCTGGCTGTGCCCCCAGTCCAACCCTTTCTGGGCCCTGGCCGGGCGGACTTCACTCACCTCTTCACAGGGCGATCCAGAAATCCTCATCCGAGAACATGGCCAGAGCCCGGGCCGCTCCCCGACCTCGAACCGCCAGAGCGATCACAGCCGCCCCCCGCACGGGGGGGGGTAGGGGGGCCAAGAACGGTAAATCCAGGTCGGAGTGGCCACCCTTCCCCCCCCAAAAAAAGCAAGAAGCCAAAGAGGGGCTCTCTGCCTCGGGTTCCAGCAGTTTAGGTTTCCATGGACAGCCCCAGGGCGGCGAATCCCGAGCGGACACAAAGAGAGCACCGGTGGCTTTGATCTTGGGCGAGCAGGCTCCGCATCCGCGTCGCCGGGCGGCCTCTCAGTCCCAGGGCCCGGCCAGCGCCCCGGCCGCCCGCGCCGGGCTCGGGCGGAACGTCGAGGCTCTCCAGATGGAACGTCCAGGCGCCTCCCCAGCAGCCCGGAAGGAATGCCGCGCCGCCCCGCGCCGGGCCCGGATG